GTGTGTGTGTGTGTGTGTGTGTGTGTGTGTGTGTGTGTGTGTGTGTGCGCGTGTGTGTGTGTGTGTGTGTGTGTGTGCCATACACACACATAAAATAAGTGAATAAATATCTGTAATTTTAAAAATATTTGTCTTGGGGGCTGGAGAGATGGCTCAGTGGTTAAGAGCACTGTCAACTCTTCGAAGGACCCGGGTTTAATTCCCAGCACCCACATGGCGGCTCACAACTGTCTCCATTTCCAAGGGATCTGGCACCTTCACACTGATGCACATAAAATAAATAAATCACTTATTTGTTTTGGGGGCTGTAGTAATGGCTCAGTGGTTAACAGGCACTGGCTGCTTTCCCAGAGGCCCCAGGTTCAATTCTTAGCACCCACATGGCAACTCACACCTATCTGTAACGCCTGTTCCAGGGGATCTGACCCCCTCACACGTGCAGGCAAAACACCAATGTACATTAAATAAAAATAAATTAATTAAAAATTTGTTTTGGAAGCACAAGGACAACTTTATTAGAACTTAAATAAAATTTAAAAAAAAAAAAAAAAACTTCATGTCAGGCAAGCTGTCAAACCTCAGCAGCTATCCGAGGTGGAGAATGGAAGAGAGAAGGAAAAGGCCATTTTTATCATGAAAATGATATTTTTTTTATCATGTCATTTTTTTTTCAGAACAGGGTCAGACACGTGACCCACAAGCAACTCTGTGGTAGGGAGGGAGGCCTTAGAGAAAAAGTAAGAAATCCTGAAATGCCTTCTAAAAGCCCAAAATGTTGAGGAAAGCATGCTTAGAGAAGACAGAAAAGGAAGGAGAAGTTGCCCTTTTCTGAATAATTCAGAAAGCAGGCATATTGACAACCCTGCATGGATATGGCACACACATTTCTGCCCTCAAATTTTAAAGAAAAGTGTGATCAAGTTTGGAGAAATGGTTTGGTGCTTAAGGGTACTTAGCTGCTCTTCCAGCACCCAGGGCCTCCCAACTGTCTCTAACTCCAGTCCCAGGGGCTCTGACACCCTCTTCTGACCTCTGAGGACACCAGGCATGCACATACATGTGGGTAAAACAGCCATGTACATACATAAGTAAAAGTAACAATTTTGGCGTAGTACATGTCTTTAATCCCAGCACTCAGAAAGTAGAGACAGCCGATTCTGAGTTCCAAAAAAGCGAGGGACACACAGAAAAACCCTGTCTCAAAACACCAGAGGGGAGAAGGGAATGGGGAAAATGGGATCAGAAAAAGCCAGTTAAAATTCAGTAGTTGTACTCTGAACCTTACACAGTGTGGCCTCTGTCCGCGGTGTGTGCAAAGGTCCTCTCAGGCGGTTGTAACTGAGACCTCAGCTGTGTGTGGAGAGAAGGGGCTGAACTAAGCATGCTCTGTGCTTCTGTGCCCTGATACTGCCTTGTTTGTTTGGTTTTTATAATCTAATAGTCTTTCACAAAACTCCCATTAAACCTCTATTAAAAAAATAAATCTTGGGCCAGAGAAATGGCTCAGAGGTTAAGAGCACTGGCTGCGCTTCCAGCAACCACATGGTGGCTCATAATCATCTGTAGTGGGATCTCATGCCCTTTGCTGGCATGCAGGCAGAACACTGTACATGTAATAAATAAAATTTTAAATAAATAAAAAAAATCTTTAAAGATCACATCGATGTATCAATCCCAATTTCTCTTGAATTTCTTCTGTTTTGGGGTAGGCCCAAATAGCTGGGCCTAACAGGTCCATGTCACCATATCAGACTCCTTACCGTTGTTGATCTCTTAAGTCTCTTAATTTCCTCTCTTTGGGGGGAGACATTGTCTTCTTTCTAAGAGAAGAGCAGGAGACTGTAGAAACACGGTTTGGAGCCACCTGGTTATCATGAGAGCTCCCCGCAGGGAGCTGCCTGGATTAGCAGTGTTGGGAGAGAGGTTCCATGAAGGGACCCTCCCTCCCCCAGAGCCAGGAGGCTGACACCGACCACACCTTCAGGCCCTGTCCCTCAGGTAGAGCCATTCCTTTGTGTTTGCATACACGTGAGAAAAGATGGTACCCTGGAAACTGGCTTTCAATTTTTCACCTTTGACAAAATATGACATTCTTCAAAAGTTCACTATTTGGACTGTCTTCAAAACATACCCCATTTGTAATGGGCAAGTGAGAATAGCCAAGGCCAGGCATTTGGGCAGAGAGCTGTGCAGAGAGTTAACTTAGCTAAATTTTGTGCAGCACACACACATTTATACATAAACACACCCACTCACACACCCATGCACGCACACCCATACATTCTGGGAAACTATGGCTGTGTTGGTTCCCTTTGCTTTACCTGTGCCAGGTAAGTACTCTGCTACTGAGCCACGCCCACCCCACAGGCAACCAGTCTAGAAAGACACACACACATACACACACACACACACACACACACACACACACACACACACACCCTGCTCCCCCGGGACATGGTCTTGCTTTGTAAGCCAGGCTAGTCTCGAACTTGCTATTCTCTGGTGTTCATCTCCCTAGTGCTAGGATCGCAAGCCATACCCTCTCAAAGCCTTGATTTAAAGGTAGTATTCCAGGCTGGCTTAAATTTGCTAGGTAACTTGAGAACAACCTCTAACTTCTGATACCTTGCTTATAACTGGTATGTGCCACTATGCCTGATTTTTCCTTGTTTTTGTTTTTAATGATTTGTTTTTATTTTATGTACATTGATGTTCTGCCTGCTTGTATGTATATATGAGGGTATCAGATCCCCTGGAACTGGAGTTATAAATCATTGTGAGCTGCCTTATGGTGCCTTGCAGATGCTGGGAATTGAACCCAGGTCCTTTGGAAGAGCAGCCAGTGCTCTTAACCACTGAGCCAACTCTACAGCCTTCTTGTTGTTTTTTGTTGTTGGGAGGTTTTGTTGTTTTGTTTTGTTGATTTTTGAGATACTAGGTGGCTCTGACTGTCCTGAAACAGTCTGTAGACCAGACTGGCCTTGAACTCATAGCAATCCTCCTGCCTCTGGCTCTGGAGTGCAGGAATTAAAGGGTACACCACAGAACCCAGCAACCACATCCAGCTCATGTGGGGCTGGAGAGAGAGAGCTCAGGGCCTCATGCATGTTTGGCAAAAGCACATTATCGACTGAGCTACACGTGCAGCCCATCAAAGGCTTTTTAGTGAAGTTACTCAGATAGAAATTTAAATGTTACAGTTTTTCCAGAGAAGAGCTAAGCTGAGAAGGGGTTACTGGGGTTCAATAGGACCCCTCTCTGACATTGCCCTCTCTTCATTTGCAGTTAAATGAACTGGTAGTGGGAGACACCAGCGGAAAACTGTCTGTGTATAAGAATGATGACAGCCGGCCATGGCTTACGTGTGCCTGCCAGGGAATGGTCAGTATTCAACCTCTGCAGGTCTTGGGGAGGGATAGGATGCCTTTGTGTTGTACTGCCAAGGAGTCCCGCAATGAATTCTCTGGCAACTCAGCCAATCAGTGCTTCAGAGTTTGTTTCACTCACAGAGGGTAACCCCAGGAATTGCTCTCATCCATTCCACTTTCAGCTCCCCCACAAGACAGTTTTAGTTTGCTTTCTGTTACTGTGGTAAAGGCCATGACAAAAAAAAAAAACCCTCAGGGAGATAGGGGATTCTTTCAGCTCATAGTTTATAGTCTATTGTGAAGTCTGAAGTCAGGGCAGGGTCTCAAGGCAGGAATCTGGAAGCCCGAACTCAAGCTGAGAACATCTGCTTACTGGCCTGCTTTCTCATACAACCCAGAATCACCCACCCAGGGCTGTGCCCTCCCACATCATTCGTTAATCAAGAAATTGCCTACAAGCAATCTGTTGGAGGCATGTTCTCCATTGAGGTTTCTTCCCATATAACTCTAGCTGGTGTCAGTTTGACAAGGGGGGAAAAAAGGCAACCATATTGTCCTGATGCTGGAGTGAGCTTGCTACTTTATCGAGGCTGCCCAAGTTGTCTGATAGTACGCAGTGAAGTAGTCGTGCATTGGCTAGCGGCGAGTGCATGTTCTGAGAAATGCACTGTTAGTCTCTTTCACTAGGAAGTGACAGTATTTGTATAAACCAAGACAGCTGCTATGTTACGCTAGGCAAGGTTTTGCCTTGTACCTCAGGCTGACTTCAGACTCTCCGTCCTCCTGCCTCAAAGTCTTACCTGACACCAGCTATGTGATAGTCTCTTACAGGCTGACAATAATATATGTGATCTGCTGTTGACTAAAATGTCCTCATACAGTACACGACTGTATAATTTAAAATGGGAATAATTGGAATAATCTAGAAGTGTGGTAATCAGGCTCTCTTCCTGTTTGGTGGGGTTTTTTGTGGGCGAGGAGGGCTTATAAGCCACGGTCTTGCTATGTAACCCTGGCTGGCCTGGAATTCATAGCAGTTCTTCTGCCTCAGCCTAGATGGGTTTTGTTTTTGTTTTGCTTTGTTTTTATTTTGCATAAGTCTGAGTTTTTACCTCTTTGGGTCTTCATATTGCTATATGGATAAACCAAACTATATAACTCAATGTGTCTGTTAATAAAGACTATTCATGTAGATCCTGTGACATAAGCTTTCATGAGTGCTTTGGATGTTTAGGGAGGAACAGTCTCTCCCGGTGCCTCCATCAGGCTCTCCCTTTCTCTCTTGCAGTTGACTTGTGTTGGGGTCGGAGATGTATGTAATAAAGGGAAGGTAAGGACTCAGGGCATCTCTGGCTAGGGTAGAGCTCCAAGGCCTTGCCTCCGTTGTGACTCCCAGGGAAAGTCAGCCCTGGCCCTTGAAATCCAATCAGCCTCCCTCTCGGGCATCTCTCCTGTACCCTGTCTCTCCCAGAACCTGGTGGTAGCAGTCAGTGCAGAGGGCTGGCTGCACTTATTTGACCTGACATCCACCAAGGCTCTGGACGCTTCTGGGCACCATGAGACACTTGGAGAGGAGCAGCGACCTGTCTTCAAGCAGCACATCCCGGCCAACACGAAGGTCATGCTGATCAGCGACATCGGTGGGCATGAGCAGCCAAGGAACTGGGCCGGGGTGGGGGTAGGGTTGTGTCTGTCTTGTACATTTGTTGTGTGTTTAGTTTTTCTCTTTTTATTTTGTTTTACTTTACTTTCACTTGTATATTTGATGCATAGTTACTGAGCTAGGAAATATTCTAGGTTCTAGAATTACAAAAATGAATTAAACAAACAAAAAAGCACACCAAAATATTCTAGGTTCTAGAATTACAAAAATGAATTAAACAAACAAACAAAAAAAAAGCACACCATCTTAGATCTTACTAGGAAGAGACAGAACATACTTTATAAGAAAAGTAAGTAACGAGACTGGGAATTTGGTTCAGGAATAGAACCAGCAAGTATCAGGTCTGAGTTCAATCCCAGCACTGCCAAAAATCAGTGCTGTATTAGAATGTAGTAAATCACAGGGCTGAAGGTATCCAGGTAGAGACAGCAATTCTAAAGGTTTATTTGTAGTTAATTATGTGTAGGGGTGTGTGTATGTGTGTGTATGTGTGTGTGTGTGTGTGTGAAGTATGTACACATGGGTGAAGGTCAGAAGCGATTGGTCAGAAGCCATCTAGGTAGGAAATGTGTGGGCTGAGTCAAGGTGCTATGCCCTGGATACAGGAAGCAGAAAGTAAAGGTACTGGGTCCTGCATAGCATTTGAATGAGAAACTGCATGAGCATGGGGCCAGGTAGGGGTGAGCAGCAACCACAGGGTGTGGTAAATGGCTCAGGAGCCTGGACATGAAGCTGCATTCAACCAAAAGTTCCAGGAGGGTCAGCTGTGGAAGGGTAGCCACAGGCCCAAGCTGACCAGTTCAGGTTTGGCTCCAAGTCCATGTTTCTGTGCCTGCAGATGGAGATGGCTGCTGCGAGCTGGTGGTGGGATACACAGACCGTGTGGTGGGGGCCTTCCGCTGGGAAGAGCTGGCTGAGGGGCCTGAGTACCTGGCAGGGCACCTGGTGTCCCTCAAGAAGTGGATGCTGGAGGGTCAGGTGAGAAGCAGTTTGGGGATCTAAGAGCCCAATGAGCAGAAAAGGCCTCCTCAGAGGAGGCTGATGGAAAACGGGGCCCATCTGGGAAGAAAAGAGGGTGTCATTGCTGAGAGAGATCCAGGCCATTTTTAGACAAGCTCCCTGTGGATTTCTTGTATCAGGTACCGAGTGCAAGGAATGGTGGACTAAGAATTTGGTGTGCAAAGGTGTGTGGTGTGAACCAGGCCTGGAGCCAGTGAGCACACAGCAGAAAGCAGAGTGTCTGTGGAGGGGATGTTGTCAGAAAAGCATTCATGAACCTTGGAAATCCTCCTGTCCCCATCAAAGCCCGAGGGAAACTCTCAGACGCCCTGCCTGTATCTTCCCAGTTCCCGGTGGCAGAGTCTCCCTTTTCTTTGTGTTCCGTCCCCCACTGACTGTTCCCTCGTGCAGGTAGACAGTCTCTCTGTGACCCCAGGACCTCTGGGTGTGCCTGAGCTGGTTGTGTCGCAGCCGGGGTGTGCTTATGCAGTTCTACTCTGCACCTGGAACAAGGATACTGGCTCCCCTCCTGCCTCTGAGGAGGCCACAGGAGACAGTAGGTAAGGGCATCAGTGGCAGTGCACCAGAGTAAGGACAGGAGGACATGATGGTGCGACAGGTCTGCCAGGGCTCCGTCATCTAAGAGATTCATTTCACTTTGCCCTTGGAGAAGACCAGCTAGGGACCCAGGAGTCCTGGGCTTTTAACGTTAGAGCCTCCGAGCACCTTGAACCAGTCTTTCCAAACAGTCCACCGTTCAGATTCAGGCCTCAGAGCCTTTGCCTGGCGGCCCCATCACTCCCCTTCCATTTGCTACATAGGTCAGAAACGGTCAGGGTGAGTTTCCGCTTGCTCCGCTTCAGAAGCCCCTGCAGGGATGTGGATCTAAAGGGCCTACAGAGCTCGGCTCCGCTGGCCTCCTGCCCACTGGCCCGGTCTCCTTAACCACAGGGAAACCCCGGCTGCCCGGGATGTGGTGCTGCACCAGACGTCCGGCCGCATCCACAACAAGAATGTGTCCACTCACCTAATCGGCAGCATCAAGCAAGGTGAGGGAAGGAAGGAGCCAGAGGAACCAGGCAGCTCTGGGAGAGCAGAGAGCCAGGGCTCTCACTCCTGCCTCCATTCCCCTCACAGGTCATACCCCTGAAACTGGTAACTCGGGCCTCTTTGCCCTGTGCACCCTAGATGGTGAGTAGTCCTGGGCTGGGTGAGGTGGGTATCTGCCTGAGGGGTCTGCTCAAAGGCTCAACACACACACACTCACTCACTCTCATGCTTGCCCACACACACACTCTCACATAACCGCACAACAACCCCACTACCACCTCTGTCCCTCCAGGGACGCTGAAGCTGATGCAGGAAGCAGATAAGCTGCTATGGTCTGTGCAGGTGGATCACCAGCTTTTTGCCCTGGAGAAGCTGGATGTCACAGTGAGTCGACTTTTTCCTCATCTGAGATTCATTTACTTATTTACGTTCAAGTGTATGGATGTTTTGCCTGCATATATGTCTGTGCCCCGTGTGTGCCTGGTACCCATGGAGGCCAGGAGAGCATCACTCCCTAGAACTGAGCGGTTGTTGCCACTCAGTTGGGAATCAGGTGCTCTGCAAGAAAAGCCAGCATTCTTAATGGCCGAGCCACCACTCCAGCCCCGTGAGTAGACATTCCAATGTAGCTGTTCTCACATCCCAGTCAGCACTGAGCCTCTCTCTTAGACCTGAAGTGATTGTGTCCCTCTATCACACCCAAGTGTGCCCTTATAGCACAGAATTTAATACTTCTCCATGAGATTGCTAGAAAATCATTTCCATGCCTTTCAGCCAAAATAATGGCCCCAAAGAAAGCCGGCTAGAGGTCTAGAAGTGGGTTATTAGTCATCAACAGAGCTGTGTGTCTTGTGGGATTTTTTTTTCCTCACTCATGAGTCTGTTGATATTACTGCAAACCCTCAATTGAAGATGGGCCTACATTGGTTACACCACCGTGGTGCGAGCTGGATGCCTTTGATCAGCAGAACAGACCTTTGCTTGCATCTTGCCTCTGCTCCCTTACCTGTAACCTTGGGCAAGTGACTTTATCCCTCTTAGAAACTTCCCAGTGTAAACCTGAGAACAGTGTCTACACTGTAGTGTTGCTTGGAACATCAGGTGAAGCAGATCACTGACTGCCCTGTTGGAAGCAATAGTCCAGGTGATAGTTTGCCTCCCAGAGTCAAGCTCGCGGTCCTTTATGTCTCACTGCCCCTACCCTGTCATCAGATCTTCTCTTCTGACACGGGAGCTTGCTGTGTGCTGTGTCGCCAGAGCTGGTGTCTGCCTCTGCAGCACTGAGATTTCAGGTGCATGCCGCCACGTCTGACTAGGTCTCTTTCTCAAGTGCATCCTGCCTTTGACCTTCCTCAGGGCGACGGGCTTGAGGAGGTAGTAGCCTGTGCCTGGGATGGACAGACATACATCATCGATCACAACCGCACTGTTGTTCGCTTCCAAGTGGATGAAAACATCCGTGCCTTCTGCGCAGGTGGGACAGTGGCCTCTCAGCTCAGCTGCTCAAGATGAGGAAATGTGCTGGAGAGATTGACTCGCCCCCATTCAGTGTAGCCCCTGCGAGACATCTTTATACGCACATGGGTTCCTTAGCTTTCATTAGTGGATGGCGGGTGGGTACTACACTGCCATTGCCATCCTGACAGTTTACTTTTTAATTTGAGAGGAAAGTTTTATTTCCTTTTATGTCTGTTTGCCTGAAGTGTCTATGCACCATATCTGTGCAATGCCCACAGAGGCCAGAAGAGGGCATCATATCCCCAGGACTGGAGTCACAGGCACTTGTTACCATGTGGCTGTTAGGAATTGAACCCCTACCTCCTGAAAGAGGAGCCAGTGCCCTGAGCCATCTCTCCAGCCTCATTGTGGCAGTTTGAGCTCAGAAGTACAGCACAGCGAGGGCTCCATCAATAGATATGGGGTGACCGGGAAGACGGATGGTTCCATCCCAGCATGCCAGGCTGAAGGAAATGCTTCCAGAGTATTCTCTGCAGTCCTGCACTGGGGACTTTGGGAAGCAGCAGTAGCTATTTGGGTGATGGAAGTATCTAGCTCCTAAAACGACAATGGGCTGAGGGTATAGCTTAGCGATAGAGCCTTAGCTGGCATGTACAAAGCTGTGGGCTCAGTCTCCAGAACCCCAAAATAAATGGAAGGAACTGGAAGACACCACAGTTACCTGAAAGCTTGGTGTGTGCCTTGGAAGGAAGGGACAGGCCAAGGAAAACTTTTCTTTCTGATTATTTTGCTAACCTGCCCCTTGCATCCGCAGAGCTCGTGCTCTCTTTACTCCAGAACATCACTAAGATGAAAAGACCTACAAATCCATGTTTTGGGGTGCTGACTGTCTTCCCCACCGCTAGAATGGGCCATGTATTTTACCATCTTGCATATTTCACTGAATTCTGAACAGAAAACATAAGAAAAGGACCTTTGTTGATGGATCGCTGTGGGAGGGCCAGTACTGCTGACTCTGATGTCTTGTTCTCGCCCTCCTCTGGCCACCAGGACCAAGCCTTCACCTTTGTCTTCTTGCCTCCACCTCCCAGGCCAGTACGCCTGCAAAGAGGGCCGCAACAGCCCCTGCTTGGTGTATGTCACTTTCAATCAGAAGATCTACGTGTACTGGGAGGTGCAGCTGGAGCGAATGGAGTCCACTAACCTTCTGAAGCTGCTGGAGGCTGAGCCGGAGTACCGCAGCCTACTGCAGGAGCTGGGTGTGGGTGAGTGGCCACAAAGCCGGTGGGCCTGCACCCAGAGGCCCCATAGCCTCTTACCAGTCTCTCCTTGGCCTTCAGATCCTGACGATCTCCCTGCAGTCCGTACCCTGCTTCACCAGACTCTCTACCACCCGGACCAGCCTCTAGAGTGTACTGCCTCAAGCTTCCAGGACCCCACCTAAGCTGGGCGTGGCCACTTAGCTGGTGAAGGATCCTTCTGAGCCCCCGCCCTAACCCACAGTGATCTGTGAGCTTAGCAGAATGGGTATATATATAGATATATATATATATCATGGAGGAACAGGACTTAAGTCTTGGCCATCAAAGGATGGTGGCACCCCTGAGAGACTTGATGAATGAAAAGATTGGATTCCCCTCCGCTCATTGCCCTGTGGTCCCCTTCTTGTACTACCTACTCTCATTGTAGAAAACAGACTTGTGAGAAAAGGCAGCAAACCTTTGCCATGGTGTCAACACCTGGAAAAAAAAAAAACAGGCTTCAGGCCTGAGGGACTAAGGGGACAGTGGAGATGGCCCCACTGCTCCCATTGAGTGCCGATGACTTTCACAGCATAGCTCCAGGCAGCTGACATCAGTAATTATTTCAGGAATGGCTGAGTGTTTGTTTAAGGGCATCTTTCAGGACAGTTTCCTTCTCATCTTCCTGTGTTCTTCCATTTACTGAAGCAACTAGGTCACAGCTTTCTTTCTTTCTTTTTTTTTTTAGTTTTTTGAGACAGGGTTTCTCTGTGTAGCGTTGGCTGTCCTGGACTCACTTTGTTGGAGGCTGGCCTCTAACTCACAGAGATCTGGCTGCCTTCACCTCCCTGAGTGCTGGGATGATAAGCGTGTGTCACCATGCCCAGCTCGTCAGGGCTTTCCTATTTTGCTATGATCTTTTCTCTCCCTCTTCTCTTCTCCCCTCCACCCCACTTCTGGTTTTGCTTTGGGGTGTTTTTTTGTCTGTTTGGTTTGGGGTTTTGGTTTTTGTTGGGGGGTGTGTGTGTGTGTGTGTGTGTGTGCAAGTATATGTGTTTTGCCCGCATTTATGACCGTGTGAGGGCATCTGAAGCCCCGGAACTGGAGTTACAGACAGGTGTGAGCTGCCATGTGGATGCTGGGGATTGAACCCTTTTGTACATCGGTCCTAGTGCTCAGACACAGGTTTTCAGGCTTGCATGGAAATGTTCCTCCCCACCAAGCCAGCTCCCCAGCCCTCAGGTCTTTTGAACTAAATGAAATGGAGTAAAATAAAGCGGAGAATGTCAGAGTCCCTTGCTCACAATGGAGGTAAATACTGATTTGTTAACTACTGCCTGTGCATTTGTGCAGCACACACAATATCAAATGTGCTTCATGGGCCTGTGTTCCATCTTGGGAGAGGGACCCCATCCACACTTTCCCTATGGACCTGAGGACAGAGGTACTGTGAGCTCCTGGAATAAGGAGGAAGAGACCAGAGTTGACCACCGCTTAGAGAAACCGTGTTTATTCAAATGCAGAAGCAGGCTAAGGGCCTGCCCTGGGCCAGGCCTGCCACTTGACAAGCAGTAGGAGGCAGACTGGGAAGGGGCATGGATCTCAAAGCAAGGTGATGAGGGAGGGAGTCAGGATTGAGACCAGGAACCACAACACTTAGGCTACACCAGCCCACTATTGAAAGTGAAGAAAGCATTTGTGTGCAGGCTCCTCTTTGGTCCTCCTAGGCTTTGTATTTAGTTCCCATGTAAGTGACCCAGTTCCTTGGTTGGGGTTAGAGATATTGTTGTGAAAGTCAGCCCAGTCAGAAAGATAATCAGACATGTGCAAGCCAGAAAGGAGAATGGCTGAAAGCCATCAGCTCAGGAACTGTACCTTCCTAGACTAAGTCCTACTTATTTGTCACCCCCACCCAGCTATAAGTAGATGGATGCAGGGTCAAAGGGCAGGTACCAGGAGGCCAGCACACAGGCTGTGAGGCATGGGAATCTGTGAAAGATAAGCCTTAGAGGTGGGAGATGTAAGGGTGAGGGCAGTGGAAGGGTGCTTGGGGTGGGCTTCAGGCAGGTGGAGGCAGCAGGTAACTTGAACCCCCACAGCCAGGGCTAAGTCTAGAGCCCGTTTTATGTAGGTCTCTTTCTATTACTGACTTGGCTATGCTCTTGGGCATGGATAAGAGAGAAAATGGGGAAGCCAGGACCTTGAGTCACAGATAGGCTCAGTAGAAGCTCCTGGGGCAGCTATGGAGAGGCAGAGAGGGAGGTGGCCCAGTGCAGGGTCAGGGTGGTGAGAAGAGATTAATGCAGTGGCCTCCAGATGCCCTGCTCAGGCAGATACCCACTCCACACCACTCTTCCCCTAAGGCACGGTGTCGCCCTAGGGACCGGCTGAGACAGTGGTCACTGGCCAGGCTCCTGGTACACAGGCAGGAAGGGCAGCTCCGAGAAGGGGGCTTTCAGCCGAAGCACTCCACGGTCCAGGTCAATGCAGCACTGCCGTGGGGACCCCAGATGTGTGGTCACCTTCTGCCTCCCTCTGCTCCCACGCCCCGCCCCTTCAGGGAGGGAACCCATTCTCTTGATTTCCCTTTTGGGGAAAAGTAAGCAAGTTTTAAGTTTCACACTTGTCTGTCTCTCTTGCCAGGCTGATCTGGGCTTCCACCCTGAGCCTTCTACCTCTCCTAGCATTTTGGGTCAGGCCCAAGCATGGGTGCCTTACCTTGAGGGAAAGCAGAGTCTGCAGTCCCAGGCAAAATTCAGGGCTGTCCACATCTGCAGGAACCATTGGAAAACAAGGTTTATCTGTAGCCACTGCCACCTTCCTCTGAGCACTCACCCCCCCTTCGGTCCCCCACCCCCGCAGTTGAGAACAGCAGAGAGCATAATGATCTGAGTATCTGGGGAGTGGGTGCTGACAGGCCAAAAGCTTTGTACGGCTCAGAGAAGAAGCAGAAGAGGCGAGAGGCTGGAGGACTTACCCACCACCTGGGCCGAGCATGCCACAGTCTCCTGCCCCAGCTCCAGTTCCAGCTGTTCCACCTGACTTGGAAGCCCAGGTGCCAGATCCCCACCAGGGGATTTTGGAACCCTCTCCCCTAACCTGTGGTTAGAAAGCAAGGGTGATAGCCATCATGGTTTCCGATTCCAGCCTCCCTCCTCCCAGTTAAAAAGTCAGTACTGATCTATGCTCTCTTCCAGAGGAAGGTGGTCTCAAGCAGCTTAAGTAGCCAAGGCTGGCCTCTGATTCCTAGTTCTTAACTCCGGATGCTAGGCTTACAGACATGAGCCACCAGGCCTGGCAGAATTTACTTCAGAAAAGTGTGCAATTCACAAGTAGGCGTAGTGGCACACACCTTTAGTCCCAGCACGTAGTGGGGAAAAGACACCTGAATCTCTTGAGTTCCAGGGCACCCTGGTCTACAGAGAGTTTCAATCAGGGATACACAGACATTGTTTCAAACAACAAAGCAGGCAATTCAGTGGTATTTAGTAGTGTGTCAGAGTGCAACCATCTTCACTAGATACTCTAAAGATATGACATCACTCTCCTCCCCAAAATAACACCACAAACGCAGGTGTGGCCTGACGGTCAATACAAACCCACATGCTGGAGGCTGAGGCAGAAGGTTGTTGAATTTGAGGTCAGCCTGGGCCACATAGGGAGACCCTATATGGAAAATTTCCATATAGGGTAGAGAGATGGCTCAATGGTTAAGAGCACTGTCTGCTCTTCCAAAGGTCCTGAGAGCAATTCCCAGCAACCACACGGTGGCTCATAACCATCTATAATGAGATTTGGTGTCCTCTTCTGGTGTGTATGCATACATGCAGGCAGAGTACTCTAGAAATAATAAATCTTAAAAAAAAAAAAAAAAAAAAAAAAAAAGAGGGGAAGGGATGGAAGTCCCATCACTGTGCACCGACTTAGGTGCACTCTTACCCCAGGCGCCTGAGGCATCCAGCAGATATCTGATTGTGCTGGGTCCCCGTGTCCACGGCCACTTGAAGCATCTGGTCCTGACACTAAAAGAAGAAGGAAGGGACTGGGTTGGAACCCTCAACCTTCTGAGCCCTTGGTGCTTCTTTCCCTTTTAAGAGATGAGGAGACGACTGAGTTTTCAAAAGCGAAACTGACTCTCCCAAAAAAGGAATCAAGTATTTTCATATCTCCACATGGTGAATCCGTTAAGCTGAGAAAGATCTGGGCTGGGATGGCAATCTATTTGTGTAGGGGAAGCTGAAGCCCTCCTGGTCAAAGAGCCGCAGCCAGGAAGAGACGGCGAAGAGGACAGACCCCTTCTGTAGACTCTCAGATCTACGTGACCAAGAATGGAAACAGGAAGACAAGTTCACAGGCATTAAGGTGACCACTTGGATACATATACGTTAAAAAAAAAAAGTCATTTTCTTGTTCTAAACATTTATTGAGCATCTGTGTAAGATGTAAGGCCAGTAGATACTTTGATGAGCGCCGTTCCTTGGCAGTGTTAAGCAATGAAACGAGACTTGGCAGAGAACGTTGTAAGGTCTACAGAAGGATCACGAATTGAGTGCCTCAGAGCTTGGAACAGACGGGAGCTGTTCCCTGCTGGACAGAGAAAAGCTTTCAAGGAGGAGGCGGCCTCAGCTTTGGGCCTTAAAAAATAAGAATGTGGGCAAGGGATGAGTGAGATTGAGAAGGGAGATCTCTGGGCGGAGTCTAAGCATTTGTGGGATTGTCCTGCCAGCAAGTGGGTGCTCCAGGGGCTGGAGAGATGAGGAGCCTCGGGCTGCAGAGACGGCTCAGTGGTTAAGAGCATCTGAGTTCAGTTGGGCAGCTAGATTGGGCAGCTCACAGCTGCCCACAACTCCAACTCCAGACCATCTGACAGTCTCTTCCTGCCACTGCACATGCCTGTGACATCGCACACACATGAATTTTTGAAAGTCGCTAAGTTTTTCTTCACCTTGGAATGTGAGCTTTTTATATACATGCATACCTTTCCAGTGTGTGCCGTACAATAATATATTTAAATACTCGTATTTAAATCTACTTCGATAAAAGAATGGGGGCATCATACTGCAACGGTGTTGACGGACGGCATCACGCAGAAGAGGTAAGCAAGACAGACAGGAAAGTAGATGCCGGGCTAGAAAAGGAGAGAAATGACTTGTCCCCCTCCATCTTTTGACAGCCAAGGCAGGAGGGAGAACTGGTGAAGTGAGCAGGCTCATCAGGCAAGTGGAAGTCAGAACCCTGGGAGGCGTCTTACCTTGCAGTTGACAAGAAGAGCTGGAACCTGTGTCACACTGGTCCTGCTGCTGCCATGGCCACGGACCAGGGCCTGTACCAGGGGAGACTCCCCCTGAAGCTGCCTCTGGTTTCCTTCCACCAGGCGCCTTTGGATCACGCTGTGTGGCTGCTGTCTCCATCACAAAATAGTGAAAGGAAATCTAAGCCCGGGAGATAGGCCACTTGTTCCCTGTCCGCCACCACCACTCTGCCCCTTATGCCTTGCAAATCACAGGTTCCTTGCCCAGCTCTAGACCAGAGAAACAATAAGAAAAGTAGCTGAGAGATGGCTCAGCAGTTAAGAGCACTTTTCTAAAGGACCTGGGTTCGATTCCCAGGGTAGTAACTAGCTCCAGTATGATACAAGTCTGGCATGGTGGAACAGGTCTGTCATCCCAACACTTTGGAAGTGGAGGGAGGAAAATCAGGAGTTCAGGGTTATCCTCCACTGCATAGCAAGTTTGAGGCCAGCAGGGCCTGAGTGCCTCAAAAAAAAAAAAAAAAAAAAAAAAAAAAAAAAAGCTTTTAAAAGAGATGAGCCAGTAGTGCTGCATGCCTTTAGTCCAAAGCACTAGGAGACAGAGGCAGGCAGCTTTCTCCTGAATTAAAGGCCGGGCAGTCTACAGAGCATGTTCAAGGGCAGCCAGAGCTACAACCCTGTCTCAAAAAGCAAACGGAAAGATATAAGCAGAGAAAAAGATATAATAAGCAGAGTGTTCAGGCTAGAATAATGAACCATTATCCTTGACCTCTGTCTCATCTGCACCATCCTCATGCGTACTGTATTCTGCCAGCTCAGCTTCCTTTCTTTGTAGAGGCACCTGCTGAATTCTCTTGGGCCACTGGACACCTTCCTCCACTCACTGCTTCCGAGATTACTTTTCTACACAGACTTAGCTAAAGCCCTGCTACTCACAGTTTAGTCCTCAAGCAGTGTAGATAGAATTTTAAGCTATATATATGATTATAATTAAGATCTTTATACATATATAATATATATATATATATATATATATATATATATATATATATATAATTTTCTGTGTGTGGGTGTTTTGCCTGTATGTATTTCTGGTGCCTGTGAAGTTTAGAAGAGGGCATCTGGAGTTACAGGTGATTGTGAGCTCTGAGTATATGCTAGAAATAACATCTCTGTCCTTTGGAAAAGCATCCTCTGAGCTGTCTCTCCAGTTCTTGGTTTTTCGAGACACATTTTTTTTTTCTGTGTAGCCTTACCTGTCCTGGACTTGCTTTGTAGACCACTCTGGCCTTGAATTCACAGAGACCTGCCTGCCTCTGCTTTTCTGAGTGCTGAGATTATAGGTGTGTGCCTCCAGGCTTGACTAACCAAAAGTTTTAATGGCATTGTAAAGCCTATTTGAAATGTAGAGTCTCAGGCCTGAATCAAGAATTTTGTTCTTATTTTGTTTTCTTGTGCTAGCGTTTAAACCCAGGAGTTTGCACATACCTAGCAAATACTGTACCAAGTAGCTGTTTTCCCAGCCTTGAATCTTTGTGTTTGGTTTGGCTTGACTTTGGTTTGTTTGTTTGTTTGTTTTGCTTTGTTGTTTTCTCTCTGTGTCTGTCTCGCTGTCTCTGTCGCTCTCTTTTTCTCTCCCCCCCCTCCCTCCCTCCCTCTCTGGTTTCTCTGTTGCTTTGGCTTTCCTATAAATCAGGCTGGCCTGGAACTCAGAGGTCCACCTGCCTCTGCCTCCAAGCACTAGGATCAAAGGTGTGCGCCACCACTGCCTGGCGTTTTGTTTGCTTTATGACAGGGTCATGCACTATAACCCTGGTTGATCTTGAACTTTCTCTATAGACCAAGCTGGCCTTGAGCTCACAGAGCTCCACCTGCATCTGCCTTCCAAGATCTAGGATTAAAGGTGTATGCCATCAAGCCCAGCCTACCTCTAGCCCCTAATCTTGTTTCAATAAGACTCCTACACATTCAGGTTTGAGAAATGCTTAAGTAAAATGTGAAAACAACTGTACAAACCAGATGTGGGGGGTGCACCTATAAATTTCCAGCATTTAGAAGGAGAAGCAGAATAGTCATGAGTTCAAGGCCACCCTAAGCTACCTTAAAAACAAAAAAAACAACAAAAAACAAACTGGTGATCCCAGCACTCAGGAGGAAGAGACAGGTGGGTCTTTCTGTGAGTTCAAGCCCAGCCTGGTCTACATGGCAAGTTCCAAGACAGTAAGACCCTACTTGAAAAAATTTTTAAGCATTATTCTTCTATATAAAATACATCACACACATACTGGTATAGTGACAGCCTGTTTTTGTCTTTTTATTGTTTTTGTTGTTTTGTTTTGAGAGTGTCTTTTCTCTCTATGTGGCTAGCCTTGACTGTCTGGGAATTTGATGTGTGGACCAGGCTGGCTTCAAACTTACAGTGATCTACTTTCTTTTTCCTCCCAAGTTCTGGAATTAAAGGTGTGAACCACCACACCCAGGTCTGTATTTCTAAACTGATCCCTAGATGGCCTGGCTGTTGTCTGTCCTAATTGTCCACCACACTCACTGCTCACCAGTTCCTGCCAGACTGTTTCACCCCAGCCTCTACTCCTGCTCACCTCTCCTGGAAACCCTTCCTCCCAGTTCTCACTAGGCCAGTCTGAATGCATAGCTCCCCCACACTTTGTTGGGTAGAAAGGCCCTGCTTCTACCTCTGACTTCACCTGCAGAACTGGCTTTGGGTTATTCTGGCCTCCCTCTTTCTTCCTCTCATAGCTCATTTGGTCATGATTCCCACAGATGTTATTTTTGGATTTCACCTCCGCCACAGCCTGGAAGGGCCTTCCAGTCAGATCTGTCTTGCTCATCTTTCTGTCCCAGGGCCTAGTTCAGCATAATGTGCCTCCTTGACTTGGGGAGGGGGGAGGCGGGGTGGTTCAGTCATAGAAAACTTGCCTAGCATGCACACGGATCTAGGTCCCATTCCCAGTACTAAAAATAAAAAGGAAAAAGATACAAAGTAAAAATGGTTGGTTTTAATCTAGTGTGGCAGCACACACCTATAATCACAGCATTCAGGAGGCAGGGGAGGAAGGATCGCCACAAAGGTGAGGCCAGCCTGCTGTACTTAGTTCATGCCAGCTTGAGCTACATGGTGAGTCCTATCTCAAAAATAAGATACAATTCTGTCGTTTATAAACTTCAAGGAAATTGTTGTAAGCCAGCCGGGGCTGCCTAGCAGATTCAGGCCAGCAGAGCTACGTAGTGAGACTCTGAAGAAGTTAAAATTAAGAAGTAGCCTGGAGAATGGCTGTAGCCTCCCAGGCTCCACGTGCTCCTCCACCTGACCCTGGGAGCCTGGGATTGTTTTTCCACCATCGGCCTCATGAGACCCTGGCAACAAGATGCTAGCTCTGGGAAAGGGCAACCAGCTCAGGGCCCAGGCCGTTCCCATGCCCTTCTCCCCACAGTGACTCCAGGCTCCTCACTGTTGGAAAGTGTGTCTGAGGGCTAGAGGGCCTCTCCGACTGTTGCTTGTTCATTCCCAAAGTCATAGGAGCGCCACACTACAGATTGTGCAGGTGGTAAGGCGAAGGGGAAAGGTGAAAAGCCTTGACTTCAAAAGGCAGGGCCTGCTGCTCTGAGGGGGCAGTGTCTGTAGGGAAACTTCTGGGCTAGACAGGTGTGTAGGACCATATGGAAAAGCACAAGGCACCGAAGAACCTGCCTCCACCCCAACCCTCTGAGTTGCTCAGCTGTCTCCTGGATTCTCCTCTGGGGCAGCTGAGATGGGGTTGAGGGTTCCTGGAGGGAAAACTCAAACTAGGAGTTGGACAGAAAGCCAGATCAGACAAAGCAACAGGGGAATGTATTCATGCCCAGAAGTGGCTCCCACAGAATGGAATTCTGAATTCTCTGGACCACCCAGAATTCACGCAACTCAAAAGCTAAATGGAATCACAGCTAGAAGAGTCCCCGGTGTCATTTCCCTAGTGTTGCTATTAGCCAATAGCTACTAGTGTAGCTGTTAGTGTTGCCATGACCATGCTCAGTGCTTAGAAACCCAGGTAAGCCTCTCCTTACCAAATGGGTGCTCACAACTTTATCCCTCTCTAGCAGACGGAGATAACAAGGCACAGAGATACAACTTGACAAAATATAGCCAGAATCTGGTCCCAAGCAAGGTGGCCCCAAAGCCCATACTCTTAACCATTATATCCCTGAGAGTAAAGACTGCATGCAGCTGACCCTGAGCCCCTCACCTCCTCATTGTCACCCAGGCCTATTCCCTTTGAGGACTAGAGTTGCTGCAGTGGTTTGGAAGGAAAGGACAAAAGGAGACAGACACAGACTCTGATGGTCCAGGTCAGGGCTATGTGAACCCGATTACCCAGAAGACCCTCAATACTTTAATGCTAAGGGGGAAAGGGGGGGAGACAGGTCTGAGGAATGGGGCACATTCATGGGCAGCTTTGAAGGAATCTAAAAGCAGAGTCATAACCCCAAGCTGACCTATCCTCCAGGCCTTGCTGTCTTCATATGCCCATTCTGTGGAATTCCTGGTTCCTCTAGGCTTCTACTGAGCAACATCGCTCTCCACTGCCCCCAGGATAAGCCTTGGGCTCTGAAGGGATAAATGGTGGAAGCTGACTTAACGAGCCCAGGGACCCTCACTGCCACCAGGCCAAGAAGTGTCCCCAGCAAAGGATCTGAGGAGAGCTGGGGGCTGCAAGTTGGCGGAAACACCTCTCCCATCCCAACAGGAGAAAGACATCTGAAGGCTGAGGCTATGTTCTTGATAGCACCTCCCTGCAGCCCAGACACAGGACACAGAGAAAAAGAGAGAAAGGGCCAGGGGCCTCACCAGGTCCTTGGAGGTGCCGAGCCTCTTGAGGCTGTCCAGGGGTAGCAGGTCAGCCGAGTCCTTGTGCAAGAACTGGGTGGCCTGTTTGAGCCGGCGCTGCTGGCTCAGGTGGGCTCGGTCCCGGAGCAAGGCTTCCTGGCCTCTCCTGGAATCTCCCTCTTCTCTCTTGGCCTCTTGCCCAGTGCTCATGATTCTCTAGGGTGAGCAGACAAGGGTGTCCGGGAGTCTCTTTCCACCTCCTCTTTGCTCCCAGCTCTCTCTCTCTCTCTCTCTCTCTCTCTCTCTCTCTCTCTCTGTAGCTTCTGCCTCTCTCTGTCTCCGGACTGCAGCTCTCCTTCTGACAGGAGGGTCTCAGCGGGAAGAAAAGAAGAAATAAATAAATAATAGGCAGGAGCAGCCTCTCGTCAGACACCAATTTCCAGAGATTGCAGCAGAGGGAGCGAGGCTCTGGCTGGAAAAACCCAGCCCTGGAGGAGAGGGAGGGCTAGCAGGGCCCGCAGCTGGTAGGCTGCGAAGCATCCAGCTCTGAGGTCCTGCTCAGAGTGGGCTGTGGATTTGCGTGTGCGGGTGTTATGAACTGTCAGGAGGCTGTGCCGTGTCAGCAGAGGGGGAGTGAGTGCCATTGTGTGGGGCCGAGTGTTTGGTATTCACGGGGACGGCAGGCAAGTGTGTCCCTGTCCCTTGTGTATTTGTGGACCTGGTTCTGCTGACCCCCTTCCAGTCTCTGGACAGTCAGCCACCCAGCTCTTTCCTCCTCCTGCTGCCCTCTGCTGCCAGGGTTTGAGGTGCTGGCCAGAGAGGATGGTATGAAAGCGCCCGCCCCTCCTGTCCTCCCTCTGCCAGCAAGAGACCTTCCTTGCTTGTCCTGCCCCTGTCAGATGGTCCCAACATCTCTCGAAAATTGCAAGGAGATCAGGAATATTGTAGTAATACAAACCTCTGAGATTTTCTCTGTTAGACGTTAAAGACCCAGTGACACAGTGATGAAGATGCAGGGAAATGCTCTGGGACTAATCTGTCTTCTCGACTGGGTTAGTCCGTGTCTCTGCTGTCACTCACCTTGGCCTCCTCCCCTCCTTGTTGAATGTTATAGTTACAGAGTCCGATCCAGGCCTAGTGATACAGTCCTAGAATGCCAGCCACTTGGGAAGGCGAGGCAGGAGGATCACAAGCTCGAGGTCTTCCAGGACTACAGAGTGAGTTCAAGCTCAGGCTTTCAACTTAGTGATACCTGAGAAATAAAAAGAAGGGTCTGGAGGGATGGCTCGAGGCTTACAAGTGCTCAGTGGCCCACTTTCAGGTAGCTCACAGTCACCTGTAACGTATAGCATGTAATACCACAACATAACACACATACATGGCTTATACTCACATGGACACAAATAAACAGAAATAAAAATAAAGTAGCAAAATTAAATGAAAACAATAATAAGGAGTTGGGGTGGGACTGGAGAGGTGGCACAGTGTGTGTACTGCTTTGCAGGATGGCTCCTAGCACTCCAGTCAGAGGCGCTCATACCCACCTTCTACTCCAATTCCAGGAGATCTGACGCCCTCTTCTGGACTCCAAAGCACATGTACCCACACGTCCACACACAGACACATTTACATGCAATTAAATTTTTTTCCGATAAAAATATTTTAAGTGAAAAGAGGGCTGAGGATGGTAGGATGTTTGCCTAACAAGTGCAGGCCCTGTTCAGTCCCCCCCTCACTTCCACCCCCCCCATACTGCAAAACAGCTACTCAGAAACAGTTACAGAATCCACAAATACCTGCAGGGGCTGAGGCGGAGGATTGCTCAAACCTAGGATTCCAGGGTCAGCTAGGGCAACAAGCTGACCGACAAACAATAGCAAATCATTTCTAGAGCTGGAGAGATGACTCGGCAGTGAAGAGCACTGGCTGCTCTTGTAAAGGACCAGGCTCAAACCCCAGCACCCACGCATGGCAGCTCACAAATGTAACTCTAGTTTCAGGGGTCCAACACTCTCTTCTTGCTTCCTCAAGCACCAGGCATGCACATGTTTTACAGACATACATGCAGACAAAACATCCATATCCGTAACTAATAACTTTTAAAAACCACTTCTAAGGAATGACTGCTTGTAACTACTCTCATCGCTAACGAAGAAACAGGAAGAAATTTGCAGCAGCCCTCTGTAAGATTCTTGACTCTTTGATTATGAGCCTGGCTATGCCATTAAAGGCTATGCTATTTCTCCAGCGGACTCTATAGTATTTTTTTTTTTTTTTTTAAGCAGGGCCTCTCTATGTAGTCCTGGCTGTCTCGGGACTGGCTATGTGGAACAGGCTGGCCTTGAACTCTCAGAGATCTTCCTCCCTCTGCCTTCCTGAGTGCACCCACACACACACCGTCTTTTTTTTTTTTTTTTTTAAGATTTATTTTACATTGTGTGAGTGTTTGCCTGCATGCATGTATGTGCAGCATGTGTTTGCCTGGTGGCACAGAGGTCCCAAGAGAGCACTGGATCCCCTAGATCAGACGGTTGTAAACCACCATGTGGGTGCTGGGAATTGAACCCAGGTCCTCTGCAAGAGCAACAAGAACTCTTAACCACCAAACCAGCTCTCCAGCCTACTCTATGGCTCCCTTAAGGGACGGGGGTGAGGGAGGGCTTTCTTCCCAAGACACTTTAAAAGTGCTGCTCACTCATTTCATCTTACATCAAGGTGGATGGATGTAAATTCAGAAGTCTTGGGAGAAGAACAGAAGTGCCAGGATCCGGCTCATTCAGTGTCGCAGGTTCTCCTCTGAGCCTGTTCCTCACACACATAGAGAATAGTATTTCTTGAGCCTCTACAATGCACTAGTCACTAAGCCAGCCCAAAGGATACAGGGGTATTATGGTTACTTTAATGTCAACTTGCCACAATTAGAATTACCTGAGCCGGAAGACTCAACAAAAGTGTTCTGACTGCCTTGATTGATGGGACAAGGCTCACCCTAGTTGTGAGCGGCACCTTCAGACAGAGGCTCAAGGAAAAAAATCTAGGCAGAAGGGAGAGTGCCCTCCTCAGCTTGCTCCGCTCCCTCTTGCTGCTGGCTGATCTGCCCTGTTGCTGCTGCTTGCTTCACTGATATCAGAACCAGAGTTTCAAAGCTTTTGTTGCAGACTAGAAACCAGCGGCTTTCCAGGAAACTTCCCAGCTTCCAGTGCCAGATTGGAAGGCAGCAGCCTCAAGGCCCTAGTAATTACTGGGTTCTCAATGCTCAGGTGTGATTCTCCTGTTGTTACTGTTTTAAAGCTGACATTCAGGGGTGTGTGTGTGTGTGTTTGTGTGTGTGTGTATTCATCCTACTGGTTCTATTCCAATGACCAATATTCACAGTCTGACGTAGAAGCCAGGCAACAAGGTTCTAAGTACTGAGGAGAAATAAATTGCTTAAGAAAATAAAGTCATGGACTAGATCGATGGCTCAGAGATTAAGAACACTGTCTGCTCTTCCAGAAGTCCTGAGTTCAATTCCCAGCAACCACATGGTGGCTCACAACCATCTATGATGAGATCTGGTGCCCTCTTCAGATTACTGTATACATAATAAATAAATAAATCTTAAAATAAAAGAAAGTCAGGAGTGGCTGGAGGGTAAGGGAGCTCACCTCAGCTTGCTCTTCCCTCTAACTCTGACAGACCTGAGGGACAGTGCCCATCCTGTGTCACAGAAACCTGAACACTTACTCCCACACACCACCTAAGCTCACTATAGAGCCATGATCCTTGTGTTTGTGACAATGGTGATGGCCAAGCAAGACACCAAAAGGTAAGGTTTTCTTGGCTTTCCAATCTCATAGCCCTCAGGTTGGAGACCTTCTAGAAAGTTTTGTCTTTGGCTAAAACCAGGTTCCACTTTGATTTGATATGTGGTGTCAAATTATTTGGTGTCAAATAATTATTACAGATTGAACATGCATTTGCACAAATCAGTTACTTTTCTTCCTTATTGTGATAAAACACCAGACAGAACCTTCTTACTGAGGAAGGATTCATCTGGGCTCATGGTAGAGAATACAGGCCACCCTGTCCCGGAGCACACAGGGACAAGAGCCTGAAGCTCCTCTTTGGTTGGCTTCTTCCTTTTCTCCTTCTTGTTCAGTCCGGGACTTCATGCCACGGGATGGCACCATCCATCTTGTGGGTGGAGCGTCTCTCCTCAGTTAGACCTCTGTGGAAACACCCTCCACAGACTGAGTCAGTGTTCTTTTGCCGTGAAGAGACGCCATGGCCGTGGCAACTATTATAGGAGAAGCCATCGTTTCATTGTGGGCCTGCTTATAGTTCCTGGGTTTAGTTCACTGTCATCATGGTGGGGAGCATGCGGGTAGGCACTGGAGCAGGAGCTGAGAGCTACATCCTGATCTGAGAGAGGCAGAGAGAAACTAGGCCTGCACGCGCTTCTGAAACCTCCAAGCCCACACCCAGGGACACACTTCCTCCAAGGCCACACCTCCTAATCCTTCTTAAACAGTCCACTCCCTGATGACTAAGCATTCAAATCTAGGAGCCTGTGGGGGCCATTCTCATTCAAACCACTGCACAGACATACCCAGAGCTGTGTCCCTAGCTGACTCCATATCTAGTAAGTTGGCAGTAAAGATTGTCAATTATGTGTGTGTGCTCGTGTGTGTGTGTGTGTGTGTGTGTGTGTGTGTGTGTGTGTGATGCATGTGTGCTCGAGGTGTGTGTGGAGTACACATGGATGAAACCTAGGGCCTCACACATACTAAACATGTGCTCTACAACCAAAGGACACCCCCAGTCCCGTTGGTGAGTCTAGACTTGTGTTGTGACATATGGTTATTAAACGTTTAAGATCGAGCTCCCCTGAAATGAGGTCTGCTTTAACAACCCATCTTGCATTTGAAAAAACGATATAGAAAACACTGTGAGACAGCTCAGTTCTTTCTGTGCTGATTACATTGTTGGATAAGAATAATATTTCAGATCTGTTTGGCTCAATGAAATAACCTATAAAGTTAATTTGTTCCATTTCACCTTATTTTTCACCTGGCACCTGTAATGTGTTCATTTGCTTAGATGTTTAGGTTTGTGAGGGTCCGGTTACCTACAGCCCTGGATAGGCTGGAACTCATTATCTAACACCAGGCTCGCCTTGAGCTTCTGTTGCTCTTCCTGCCTTCGCCTCCTGCGTTCGGAGATTATTGGTGTGTACCACCTTGCCTTGCTTATCTGTTTTGTTACTGTCGTCAGCGATAGAGCCTGGGGTCACGAACACTGAGTGTGTGCTTTGCCACTGAGCTATAACCATGATCCTTGTTACTAAACCATTGCATTTCTACAGAACAACCACTGGTTTCAATAGGAGGCACAACCTGTACCTCTGACCTGTATCATCTAATTCCAGCAGCTCTGAATGCTATCAGGAAGTCACGGTCTCACTAACCCAAGCCAACCTCAGACTCCCTGCGTAGCCAAGGATGACCTTGAACTCCTGATCCTCCTGCTTTTAACTCACTGCAGCTGTATTCTAAGTCCCTGCTCTCTTATTCAACCACAGAAGAGTTGTAAAGGCATTTT